TTAATGCCACCCCCCTCCCCCCACCCCACAAAATGGAGTGTTCGAAAACTAAGAAACCCATTTAGCGAAGCTCACAGACGAGCCTTCAGAAGGTCCTATGGTCATGAATCTTCCCGGGCCAATGGTTCCTGGGGATTTTTCAGATGTCACACATTCTGCCGACTCAAGTCTTTCCGAAATTTCAGGTGACTTGTCGAGTTCGTCTTCACCATCGCCTGTGATGTGGGCAAAGTGGCCGTTAGCATAAGTCAAATTATAAATGAGTCTTCCCATATGTCATTACTCTCTGGAAGGGTGTTGTCCTCATGAATTGTGAATTACCAAGATCCGCTTAAAGTTTTTCCTCCACAGCTGTCGTAGACACCACCTTAAACCTACAGTTCAGATCTATGAAAGTACAGGCAAGTTAGCGAAAGATTACATACATCTTGACTGCCGTTATTACCTTTTTGTTTCATGACTGAAATTCAGCAATCTTATTTCATAAGAAACACCTATAGAATCAATATCTAATAGAATCCTTTACTAAGGACCAGCTTACTCACCAAATACAAAAACATGGAATAAAAATTGTAGAGAATATATATAAATCCAGATCTGAAACGAACTTGTGGCGAATATCACGTCATGAATTTTACCTCGGAATAAGCAGTCGGTAGAATTAAGAAGAACAAACATGTCATTTGAACAACAGCGAAAAAACGATGTGAGTCTATTATTCACCGCTTACAACTTCGTGCCGCGCACTGGAGGCGAGAGACAGGTATCAATGACAAAGAACGTGTATCTAATATTCGTTCACAAACCTGCGCCGAGTATGCATGCGGTCGCGTTTTTTCACGAAGGTAAAAAGCTTTGAAGTCGTCAAAATTCGCAGCGATCTCTAGTAATTGTGCTTTCGACAAAACCATCACAGTGTATGTGAATAATAAAGTGTATAAAGCTGAGGCGGGAACTTGCGAATTTCAGCTTATGCTGGAAGTGAGAAAAATTCTGCATTTCTATTGGTATCTGAATTCTGTCCTTTGTGTGTTCGTATTTAAAATCCTGAGCGTTGGTGGGAGGAACATATGTGAAGAGAAAATTGAAGATGTCACCCAGGAGTATATGCGAGTAGAAACTATTCACTGGGCAGAAGGAAGTGTCCTGGTCAAGGATCCACTAGTAGCAAGACAATTAGTAACGACCGCGTACTGAAGAATGTAAGCAAAACGGTGAATGAAGCGGTCCAGCTTGTTGTGATCATGAGCATGGTAGAAGAAACAACAAAACCTAGAGGGCGACTCAGTCATCTGAAGCAATAAATAGAAACAGCGAAGTGGAAAAAAAACCTGATTACCACAACCCCAATCCCACTCCCACCCCAGCCACCGGTAATCTCGTACATTGGGCTTTTGCTTTCTTCGCAAACGATGCGCTGCGTTCCACATCCATTTTCAACTGATAAGGATATCTCGTAATTACCATGAATTCAGCCTTCAAAGGCTTCTTACACCCTGCTCCACGCGGTGGCCGTAACAAATAAAGACAGAGCTAAACAGCTAAACAGGAGAGTTGGAGACTTTTTTCTTGCAATACCAGGGTAACTGGCCTCATCGCGTTACAGGCTGAAAAGGCACTTGAGGGTCTCCTGTATAACCTCTCTTTGTCTTTGTGCCAATCCCATTCATCTCCATAGCCGCTCTTTCTGTGCTCCTGAGCGCATGCCACCTTATTGCGCACTGCTTAGCTGAGATATGAGCAGGTATGTACTGGCACCTCTGCATAGATCAACATGATTGCTAGCAACGTTGACATTCCAAAAGCATTCGGTCAGCCTGCACAGGGCGATACATACCTCCTCCGTCTAGTTCTCTCTGCCAGGAAGGGCATTCACCGCACAGAAATGATAGCAGCTGTGTTCATCATTGAATTGCAACAGAATCATGCTTTAAACATTTACAACGATTTTTGTTACAGCTGAATTTCATGTAAATCACAGAGAAAAGACTTTGTTGCCGCCGAGATCCATTTATTGATTTCGTCGATTCAAAAACATAAGAACAAAAGCAGGAAATTGTCATTGCATATACGTATTGTAAAGATACATGAACAGTCATGCAAGAGAAATTGTCACTCAATTCATGGAGCTATAAGACACAAAAATGTATGAGTTATACGCCCGCACAAGAGGAAGGCCACAAATTCTATTCAACTCAAGCTACCCATTCATTGGAATTCGTCGTCGAAGCTGTAGTCATGCATTTGTTCTGACTGAGGGGAGGAGTCCTTGTTCTGGCTATATAGCGAAGAGGCGAGAAATGAAGCGACTAAAAGAGAAATGACGGCTATCACCATGCAAACGATCGCCACCACAACCACAGCTTTCAGACCAAAAGTCTCCAAAATCTCTGAAATAATGAATTTGTTGTCGAGTAAATAACCAAAAACATTAAGCAGCAGGTATCATAATTTGTGGTCAGTTACGATGAATAATTTTCAGATTCTACGAAATGTCTGGAAGGATAGAAACACGACTTCAAGCAACTATAGGACAATGTTTTTCGAGCATATTCCGAGAACCTGACTTCTCTCTGCTAGTCCCAGTTGACACCAATTCTTTAGGCCCAATGCATTGTAAGAAGCGTTTTCGAATAGCAACAAAAAAGTGTAAACTTCGGAAACACGCCAACTTCTTCTAAAGTGCGCTCCAAACCTACACAGCTTCATAAGTAGCACATCGCAGAAAAAACAAGGGTAGGCTCTAGAACTTCGAATCTGATATCATGCTATGATATCATGCTCATGATAGGCGCAACTCAATGCTGTTTTGTATGGTTTTCATCCCGCTATTTACTTAAACATTCGAACGTGACTCCTTAACACGAATTCAAATACATAAAACAAGAAATGATAAATTAGAGATCCCATAGATTCTGAATGGGATTGCAGGAGATTAAGTGGGGATTTCTCCATGAGATCAACGACATTGATCTCTAGAGGACTGGAGCTCGGCTTAACAGATCAGCACAAATAAGGTTATCAACATTTGGGGAGGCTTACGTATATGATTATGTTTATAATCTGTGCTCGTGACTTCGATATAATTAGGATTTCCTCCTTTGCCGTTTTTGTTCGCAACTTTTCTACAACTGAGCAAATGACTAGTCAGCCAAAACCTCGTTAGTAGATACTTATGTTTTCGATTGAATAAAGTGCCCTCCTGACACCAAACATTCACTAATCCGACACATACCATCCCCATACAGCATCGCTCAGAAGTATTCGACCAAATGCCTTTTCTTTCACACGTTTTACTCGTAACTCCTTTCCTACTTGATCTATTCAGGCGAAATTTCGATATATGTAGCGTATGTAAATATGTATGGTATAGTATAGTATGGTATGGTATGGTATGGTATGGTATGGTATGGTATGGTATGGTATGGTATGGTATGTATGTATGTATGTATGTATGTATGTATGTATGTATGTATGTATGTATGTATGTATGTATGTATGCACCTCTAGAAAAGCACCTCTGAAGGTCGGGACAAGTTCGGGATGGATGGAGCCCAAAACAAAATTAATAGAGCACATGTAAGGTGTTTGACTGTTGTGCGGAATGGGCGGTGCCAACAGTCAAACACATTATTTTTGCTTCGAAGATTCCAGACACCGGGGAAAATGCTTAAAGGTGAGGATTGGGTCAACAAACCAGATGGAGGAGGCCCACGTGCTGAGCTTTCTCAAAATCGGCGGTACTTTTCAGATGTATTCATAACTCGATTCAATCGAGGCGTAGAGGCCAGTAAAAGAAATAAAAGGAGTGAGCAGGGCCTTATGCGTGTTGGGCATGCGTAAGCTCAGCGGAGCCCCGCCGACGATGGGCGGGTGTGCGTTGTGACAAAAACCACTTTCAAAGCCATGAATGCAACTTCGTTGGAAACATTCTAGAAGGCGGGAAAAAAGCGGTTGGAGGTAATGGAACAAATGTGGCCAAATCCTCGAAGTGGGCGGAGCTTAGGCCAAAAATTTATAAGTCTATTCAGAAACGTTGTGGGATACGGCAAAAAAGTGTTAAGATGCGAAAGAACAAATGTGGTCGAATCCTAGGAGTGGGCAGGGTCGAGCTCGCATTGTTTCAGTAAAAATGGAAAATGACCAGAAACAAAAGAAATGCGGCAATTCTCAGATGCACATCTGTGCAGAACAGAAGTGGGGAAAGGGAACGACTAGGGGAAACACCTTCCACATGAGCGAAATAATAAGGATAACATATATCTTGCGAGTCAGAGACTTTTTTGGCAGTTCCTCTCGTATAAGAATGCATGCGCTCAATTGCTTTGAATCAGAAGCACAGTAGCAGCGTTCAGCGCTTTCATCTATTTCAGGAGGTCAGGGGTGTAGAAAATTACATGACTCTTGATTTTGAAACTATGCAAGTAGCTCATCCTTTGCTACAAAAACAACCTACTTTTCAAAAAATCATCTCGACGATCCGCCCTTCTCGACATGACTCCAGAGCTCGTACTGATATTGCAAATCGAGTAGTCGGTCGTAGTGGCGCATAGTAGGAATTTAATGATGTACGCGACTTCCGTGTTTTCCAATGAACTTGAGAACAATCTGAACCTCATCAATTTTGATCATGCGCCAATCCTATGTAGATCGCTTCCCAAAAGTATTCTGATTGAAATAAGTTCAAATAGGACCAAAAATACTTGCTCCGAGAATGGTCCATCAGCCCAAATTCCAACGTCCTCTCCTCCATGGTACCCATATTGCGCTGGCACTGGTGTTGGATGTCGGTAGAAAGGTCGTTCTTGAAATAACACATGGGTAGTCCCGTGGATTATGTTCAATTCAGCCGTTTTACGATCACTAGTGACCTTGGTGCCCCTGTATTACTGAAACAAACCTATTTCAGCATTGCTGGGATGCTCCTTGAAACCATTTCTATATCCCGGTCCAACAGCGAAGAACAGGGTCGGCAACCAATTTTCCACTGTATCGATTGTGTTCCCCTCACGATGCACTACTCTTGAACTCTCTAAATAATTGCCTTTTGTAACCAAAATCTTTTCTGCAGTATATTATGAGATTTGAAATCTGTAATGATTCCAGGATCAAGCATAGCGCCCAAAAAACCGTGCACTATTTGGGCCTCTTCCATCAATTTGCCTCCCGTTTGTTTTCTTAAGTTCAAACTGATGAGTAAGGGCTTAGCTGATTTTATGGTCTTTTCCCTTCAAAAGGCGGTTCTACTTGGACTTACTTTTACCCCTATTTGGCCGACTCGAATCAGGTAGAGCAATCCGCCTTCGAGCACCACTGAGACTCCGCATGAAAAGTGAAATTGTGACTTGTTTTGATGGGAATCATGGGCACTTGCTCTATTTTATCTATCATGTACACAGCCATAGCACATTAGTCAATCTTGCTCATTTCTCTCTAAGGTGGTTCATAGGGAGACAAGGTACCAGGCTCTATAATTGTGCGGATGGGCTCTGTGCTGCAAATATAAGGCAAATGTCTTCGTAGAAAGGTAGGACACCTGGCAAGGGAGGCGATGAGTGGCGTTTTCTGTTAACCGGAAATGTGAGTAAGGTGAGGGGGTAAGGGACCGAATTTGAAAGAAGGCACTTCCTGATGCGATTTCTGATACGCAAAAAATATTAGGTAATAGTTTCACGACATCAGGCTGCAATGACGGCAGTCTCTTTGGAGCACTGCAACTATCATTTGAACAACCAAATTCTTACGCCCTTCATACATCTATTGAATTTCCGCTACATACGCTAGACGTACGAGGGTTGCCTTTTATATTTGAGATTTGGCAACACTAGTGTAGCAATCTAGCAACTGACACCACTATCGTTAAGGTTGATTATTTTGAGGTTACGTTGCGAAATTTGAGCGCGATTTGTATTGTTTACACTAAGTTATAAGTTTTTGTTTAGGCCAAGTTACGGGGTTGAATCGTGAGCATTTTCGCGCGGTTATTTCCTACAACTTTCGACGTGGGCTAACTCAACAGCAATGCATGGATGAACTTAGTTCAATTTTTGGTGATGAAGTTCCATCCAGGGCCAGTATTTATCAATGGTACAGTGAGTTCATCCGAGGTCGTAGTTCACTCGAAGAAGAATTTCGTGGAGGTCGTCCAAAATCAGTTGTTGTTCCGGAAACCGTTGACACTGTGCACAAACGAATATTGCAAGACCGATATGTGGCCTATCGTGAGATTGGGACAACCTTAGGCATTGGTGGGACCAGCATACATTCAATATTGCATAAACATTTGACTGTGAGAAAAATTGTTTTTGAAAACTTGCCAATCTCCCAAAAAAGGGACTCGTGTCGACTGGTCGAAAGAAATGCTCAAAAAATACGATCGCGGTGCTTCGAAACACGTCGTAGCATCGAAGCAGATGATGGATCATGTATTTATGCGTATGAGCTCGAAAGGAAACAGCAGTCGACCGAAGGGATATTTCAAGATGAGCCAAATCCAACAAAGGCTGTCCGCGCACCAAGCATTTCCGAGCAATTGATCTCCTGTTTCTTTGGAAAAATTGGAAATGTCGCAGCAACTGTACCACTAGGACAAGCAGAGCAGTCAATTCTAAGTGGTATACCACCATTTGTTTGCCAGTTGACTCCCAAAAAATCAGGAAAACCTGCTGAACACGAATGACTCTTCACCACGACATGCGAGCTCCCACAGATCGGCTCAAACAACTGCATTTTTGAGCACTCAAAACAACGATTTGATGAGTCATCAGCCATATAACCCCCACGTGACTTCTTCTTATCCCGAACGTAAAAAATAAAATGTGAGGTCAACGTTTTTCGACACCTGAAGGAGCCTTGTTGCGTTCAGAATCCATGTTTTAGAGTTACCTACATCAGAGTGGCAAAAGTGCTTGGAAAATTGGTTCCCGCCCGTGCAAAAGTGTATAGATCTTAATGTGAAGAATTTTGAAAGGCAGTAAAGCGATTTTCAATAAATAGTATTTGCTTCTGTTCTCAAATCTCAAAATATGAAAGGCAACCTACGTAGCGAAGGCGGCATGCCGATCCGGTACGAACTCTAGCATCTCCCGAAGAGGTCCAGGGATGCTAACGTTGAGAGTAATGAACTGCAGCAGTGGATTTACCTTGACAAAGATAACTTGGAAAGTGATTCGGACAAGTTGGAACTTATATGATTCGTTAGTCTCCTGGATTATCCGCAACGAACCGCAAAATTAAGGGTCTCATTCATTGGAATCTCACTTCTTCGGCTAGTTTATCACTTGTGACCGCCCTTCTTTCTTTTGACGCTCCCAACTAAGTCGTCGTGCCAATAGGGTCAAGATTGATTCAGTGAGCACGTTCATAAGGGATGAGCAAGTTTTCAAGCATGGCCATCACAGCACCGACTGATAAGGCTTTGTTGTAGAAAAGAGGATCACCTGCAGATTAACCGAAGACTGTCTCAGTGACGTGAAGCGTTCCATGTAAAACCTTTCTTCATTGTTGTGTTAGCTTCCATCTGCGTTTCTTCGTCATACCGACAAGCTACTATCCTCTAAGCCTTTTGCCACTACCAAATCATGATCAGCGGACTCTTAACGTCGACGGAGCGAATAGCTCTTCTTCAACATTGGTCGCCACAACGCAGTGAAGGAGATATAGCGCCTTCTCCAACGACTTCGCCAGCCCGTAATAATGCTTAGAACGTTTCTAACATTTTGAAAGTAAAGTTTTCACATAAGCCTTGGGAAGAAGGAGCATGGGGTGCATGGAAATTTGCAGGAAATTGCGACTGATGAAGCGACCCACTGTTTTGCCTGTAGAGTTCCATAAAAATAGGAACATGTCACATAGAGTATCACAAAAAATTTCCGTCCACAAAATTTTTCTTGAAGACTAAACGCTCACCAAAAATAGACTTCTTGGCATGAAGATATCCTGGAAGTGTGAAGGAATGGCCATGATCAGCTGTGACAATGATCAGTGTTTCATTCGGATTGGTCATCTCACGGGCCTGGAAAACCAAGTGACCAGTACTCTCGTTGTCATCTTTATCGGTTTAATAAAAACAATGGTTCCCACGGGTAATCAAAAACAAATCGTTATCAGTGGCCTATGTAAGGGAAGAATCCCAGTAGGGGTGATTCCATATGAAATAAAGTTGTTGGAACCAGCCGACGTTATCGGAAACAAACAAAAACACACACCCCACCCTCTCTGTGTACCAGTTCCACAAATTAACTCTTGCGTCGCAACAAAGAAGATGTCCAAAAGGGATGAATTGCGAATTCAAAAACCTCTTGACCGAGTTAGTTCTGAACAGAAGTTTTTCTGTTTAAGGGTCAAAACTCACCACTTGAACCGCTTCCTCGAATTCGTACATTTCCGAAAACGTTACATGCATCCAGTTTTCGTGCTCAGCTAGATCAATCTCCCCTCCTATAGCATAGGAGCTTGATAGAAACCCAGTAATGAGAGCTTTGAATAAATGATTGTCATTCTTACCTTCCACCATTAAAAAGAATCCCTGATCATCTTTTTGGAGCACTTCAATGGCTTTTTTTGTCATTTCGTGGAGTCTTGGCACGGTTTTCTTGTTTCCCAATTTCTCTTCCAGGTAATAGGGGAAGTGGGAATCCGAGAAGATACCTGAAAATTCCTGGGCATTCCTGGGCATGTAGACATCAACATTTGAAGGCTGCAGACCTGTAGCTTTCTTTCTGAAAGGTCTTGCGTAAGTGAAAACATCAGCAGCTCTTTCAGTCTTTATCTTGAGAGGT